TGTTGGGAGAATGTATAAAGATCATTCGGCAAAAGGGAGTTGATTGCGAAAGGAACTTCCTTAGGGCACTCCTAGAGCTATATCAGGACATGCCATTGACCGTGCCAAGCAAGGAGTCGAATGATATGGAAAGCTATCGCAAGTTGGAAGAGATGAGGAGATACTCCAACAAAGAATTGAGAGTGAGCAGAGACTTGATTGAAGCGGCCAGAGGACAAAAGGAGTTTGCAACACTAGGGAAACTGAAGTCGTTCCAATATGTGTCTGGCATACCGGGGATGGCGTATAATCCCTTCGTGAACGAAGAAGCCAGGGAAGCGTACTTCGACTATGAGCAAGTCACAGTGCTCAATTTCTGGGTTGAACGAATTAAGGAAATCGGAATGCTGATGGTGGAACAACCCAAGCTGGGAATTATTCTTTCTGGAAGAACGAGCGGTCGAACCCTCGATTCCCGAGCTAAAAGGGCAAGTGAGTTTTGATTGTGGTTCTTGGGACGGTCCCTTGAAAACCAGTCTAGTAGTGATGTGGGAACTCATGAAGCCTTCCTGGTGTCCCCATCCTAACGCAGGCTTAATCTGGGACATGACCGCGGATATCATGTTAGACCGGGATGATGATGCGAGTTTACATGATCTGGCCATGATACATCACCTGCTGGCCATGAGATTGACGAAGAGGAAGAGCAACCCGTCCACGGAGCTGTCCGAGGAAGGTACACCGATTAATTGGTTGAAGCAAGGCACATGCTTGGCTCAACACAGTGGGATGGAAGGACATGTTTGTAACCTGGGACACTGCCTGATTACGCTGAGCGAGCAGCATCGACAACTGGCACGATTGTACGGGAGATTGAGCATGTCAGATAAGAGTGCCATGGAGTTGGTCGCAGACTGCCATGGGGTGACGGACGTAAACCTGATCCCAGCCTTGGGATTTTATAGCATGACGAGTTCGATAGAATCACTCGAGCGCTTGGAGCGTGCCCATGAGCTAGTGACGTCCCTCAGCGTGGAAATATTCCCTGGAGCATTACAGACAGAGCAGAAGATTGGAGGCTGGCGAGAAGCTCTAGAAAATGAAATGAAATGAATCTGAAGGACAGTGAAACCTATCACAGACCTACTGGTTCAAAATATATGGTGGGTTCAAGCTCAGCGCCGTATTGTAATAGCAAGTATCCTACGCACATGGTGGTGATGGATGCGAGGACGCAACAAGTGTTGGTTGACCAACTTTTCTCTGTGCCAAAGTGCGTGAGGTTGGCCAGAATGTCAGAGAGGTCATATGACTTGTTGGCAAAGATCTTTCGGGTAGTCCCGAAGAGATCCAAAGGCGAGTTGCAAGACGTTGTGGGTGAAGAGTTCATGAGACTGAACGAAGGCAACGTGAGTGAGTTCCAGAAACAGAAAGCGAGTGGAGCGTTACCCACTGAATTCCCCACCATAGAAGAGAAAGACGATTTACATAGAATTCTGATGGAAGTGGAACCGTTGCTGGGAGCCTCAGGGTATCGGACCCGAAGGAACATAGTGAGAACCCATGGGGAGTATCCTTGCCACTGCTTGGCGCAGACGTTGTGGTACCCCAAACGCGGGAATCTGATCCTAGTATGGGACGTGGAGGAGTTGTACTCCACGGGGTTGCCCGATCAGAATCAACAAGTGTCAATCGTGGTGGTTAGCGCCATGCTAGCAGTGAGATGGTTGGAGGCTAACGCGGACACAAGTCAGCAGGAGAAGGCCGTGCCGACTCCTGAGCAGTTGAGCAACGTGAAGATGAGTCATGAATTGGATCTTTTCAGAACTACCTGCAAGGTTCTGAGAATACCTAAAGCCATTGAAAGGATATGGTCAAGGCAGAGATTGATGCCTTGGTTCCGTGCAGTGATGACATCATGGATATATGAACGCGCGAAGCGTCACATGTCAAGGAACACGGAAGCCTATCAATCTTTCCAGCTAGATATAGGACCGGGAGCCTATAAGAGAGCTTTCTTGACGCACAGAAACGCGGTCACCACAGCGGTGAAGCGGGTAGCTGGAGCGCCTTGTGTTACTGAAGATGAGAAGAAAGAGGTCTTAAGAGCTGACCTAGAACGAAACGTGAGCCTATGTCTTCACAACAGCTTTTGCAGGAACCGGGAGCAGAAGGTGAATGTGGACTTGCTACCTTGTTGCAAACCGAGGCTGTTGGAACAGGAGGGTTGGGGCACGGCCCGCAACTCTCTGGACATGTTAGAGAAAGTCCTGGAAGACAGTGACGCTGAACATCAGGATGGAGAAATGATGGAGTGAAGATGACCAAAGAAGAGAAGAGAAGGAGAGAAAAACTTGATTGTATTTGTGTGCTAAAACTTAAACCAATCAACCAAGTTTTGATTATTGAACTTGTTAAACTTTTTGTTTTGATCTAGTTTGGTCAGACCAAACTTCGAAAATTGTTGCAATTGTTAAAATTGTTGAAATTATTGATTTTAGTTACTACTATCTATGTATGTATATAAGGAACATAGGTGAGTATATTTACCTATTTATTCACGTCTGAAGTTTTTAAACTGTGTAAGACACAAATTCACTGTGTGGCGACATGGTAAGTTTGAGTAAACTCGCTCGGGAAGGGTGGGTAACTCAATAACTTTCCTAGCCACAGAGTTTCTTAGTTTTAATATGGAAAGGACCGCATAAATGACTGATTATACTTGGTGAGTAGTGTTAAGTTAATTTTAACGGGTGCGTGGCCGTGCCACGTCCCACTTTTTAATCACAAAGAGCGAAAAGAAGTTTTATGGCAAGACGACGTAAGTAGTCAGAAAAGAAATTTTATCTAGGACACTCCTCATGGTGCAAATTTTGTGAAAATGTTGAAAGGCAGTGAGATGTAGTACGATGCCATTTGTGAACACGTAGTGAGTTGAGGTGGGGTAGATAAATTTCATTTTCTTATGCGATTTGTAAAATTGATTACAGAAAACTGGGTAACTACTTGGCGATAACCCGGTGTTATGCGATCAATAGGGACATTGTTGGAGACTTGTCCGGGGAGTATGTGCCATTCTGCCAGATGACACAGCGCAACCTTCCGGCGACATAAAAAAGAGTGACTAAAGGCCTTATGAACAAAAAAGTGTTGCGACGGAGGGTCAGAATGTTCTGGAATTTTTATTTTTAAAATTTCGATTGGGAGAAGAACATTTCTGAGAAATAGAGAAAAGACGGCCATTTTGAATAAAAAGACGAAAAACAGAACCACGATAGAGATTGTGAAGAACAGTCGTGCAAGAAAATTACGGAGCCTCTTATCGTGGCAATAACACACGATAAGGACCTTAGCGACAGATATTTGTGGAGACGGAGGCTTCAGTGGGGGGAAGAGAAATACCACGGAACCCTCCCGGGACACGAAATATAAGAGATAAGAGTGTTATCTCAAGAAAATCACGGGAGCGGAGGCTTGGTCCCCCCAGAGACTGTCTATGTGAAGGGACTGTATAGACTGACTATATAGCTGCTATAATGTCATAGATCTTAATTAACACCGTTATTATTTAATATTTCAGAGCATGAGTAGCTAGAAAAAGGAAAGGGTCAATCCATCTCCAATGGATTTAATGTAAAACTGTCACACAAAAACATGTTAAAATAGGTTGTTCGAGCCGTGTTTTTAATGACAATCACGTAGTCTGAGGATCCGAGACTCAGCTATGTGGTTGTGTTCGCATGTAAACGAAAGCTGATCAAAAGTCGTTTGACTGATGGCCTAAAAATGGTAACTTTTTACTTTGCCCTAGACAGACCAGAAAATCAACTGGCAAGGTCGAGACGGTAAAAAACGAGTAGAATGAAGGTAACTGACGCCTGCCAGTCGTTAATAGGTACTTTTTCTACGCTCCGTCGCTGTGTGATATTTGGGCGAATGTTACAACGAGGCAACTCCTGATAATTATCCTATCTATCGGATCCTATCCTATCTATCTATCCTATCTAGCGTAGACACGGTCACAGGTGATCTGGCCTCTTTTCGAAAGCTGAAACAACGATTCAGCCTCGCCATCCAAAGAGGCAACGCAGGATGCATCATGGAGGCGCTAGAAGCCTAGCAAAAATAAACCCCACCATGTGCGCAGTTTTGCAATATTTATACCTGTATCCTCTCTTAATTGACTTCTTTACATCTATCGGAGATAAATCAACTTTTTCTTGCTCCTGATAACCAAATGAACGCAGATGTTTCATTAATTAAACTCAGGGCATCAGGAGAGCTTAAAGTCAAACTGATACAGTTTAAGAGTTCAACGACAGACCTTTCCGAATTGCCTGTGTTCCTCGGAGAAGCGTCTGCTTCTTCACTGGGAACGGTTATTTCGCGAAATCCCAGCCTTCCCCATTTGTAGATTAACATCAGTAACGATTGTTACTGCACAAGCATTTCTGTCGGGAAGACTTCTTGTTTTCTTGTAATCATAATTCCTATTTTCTGTCGTTTTTTATGTTCATCCTCTGCTTTCTGGCAGCAAAACGTGCCCTGGTTTTCGCGGTTTTCAGTTGTTGCGATAAAATACGTAATGTGCTCTGCAACGCTAAATCGAAAAATTTTTGAGCCTGGTTCTATTAATCTTCACTTTCTGGTTCTTTTCATAGATTTAGCTTATCGTACGTTGCTGATTATCGCGTATCGTACGTTTCACTTTTCGAATAAAAACAACGCACTGTGATCGAATGGCACAACGAGAGATAGTTTGTATCGTTCAACCCCTTGCCATTAAGTTCTTACACGTTTGTGAACCAGGCTTACGAAAAACCACATTGATTTGGCTTAGGTAGAGACAATTAAAAGCACATGGAATCTAATTTGGACGCTAGCCAATCATTATAGGATTAGGTTTTACTGCCCGTCGTATATTTTCCGGACGAATGTTACTTTGCCTCTTTGTGATAGATTTTGCCTTAAGCTTAAACATTGCAAATGTCCATAACAGCCCGAACTTTGTTATTATAGATGCATTGAAAGGTAATTTTGGGGATTTCTGAGTCACAGCTGTACTAATCTTAGTTTCAGTAAACATGGTAAAGAAGTACTTCGTGTCTGGTTTTATGGCGGAAGATATAAAGGGAATATCAAGTATACTCGACGAAAATTGTTTTTCTGCGAATACTTGGCTTCCCTGGGTTAACGGAACGGTTAACCTTAATCGTCTACTGGAAACAGAAAGTAATTTGTACATCCGATCGGAACGATTTTTAACTGAAAATGAAAAGTGTTATGGCGTAACCATCAAAGGTTTTAGTGCAGTTCAACATAAGTTACTTCCTATTCACAAAATCGATCATACATTCTGCGAAAATTTTTTATTTGAATCAAGTTATGATGACATAATCCTTATTTCATCTGACATTTCACATGAAACGGGCTGTTCTCGTGAATCAAGTGTTTTTATATACAAAGTTTCGGAAAATTATTCTTTAACAAAGAGCTTTGTGGTGCCCGAACTGGTGAAGCAGATTAGCGTTGGGCATGCACACGCAATAGCTTTGGCAGATAACGGTAAAAGCCTGTTCACATGGGGTTGCAACACAAGAGGAGAGCTTGGGACTTCATCAAACAAAGTGAACTCTGAGAAGTTTGAGTTGGTTGAGCAACTGAATGGAATGAATTGGGCAATGGTAGGTAATAAGTTAAAGATTTTTTTATTGGTCAGCTCCTACTCCAGTAAAGTATGTTAAATCAATTTATAGCCAAGCATTAAGCTTCTTGGACCGAATGAGTGAAAAAAAAACAGCCTGTGAAAAGCGTCGTCGCATTGAAAGACAAAGCAAATGAATTCAAAATCGGTCTTTTTAGTAAAATAACAGTATGCGCTCCACTTTCAATGACGACTCTTCTGGCGTCAGGAGCTTCTACATTACCGTCAGTCGCGGTTCTTCGTGCAGCCATTTTCAATGTCTGAAACGGGAAGCGTGTAAATGAACACAACTTATATTGTGGTAGATAATCTTAAGTAATGCAAATAGAATAAAAAGTAAGATTTCAGAAGTTTTTATTTCCTTTAAAGTATGTTTGGTACAACAGTAATTATATATCTTTACAAATCTATATAAAACCGCCAACAAAAACATAGTACAAATCATAAACTGTTACATCATAACCAGTTAAGATCTTAATCATCGAGTTACGCGTCGACGCAAAAGCTTCTTCTGATTTCTTGTAAGTTATTAATTGCATCTGAGGTCCAAGGCATAATTTCGACGTTCGCTCCAAGCAACGGAATCTGTCCGTTAAAATTTCGCTTGAATATTGCAGTCAGAACAGCGTCATAAGGCGTGAAATCCCTAAACGCGGCTATTACTGTCACGGATCCTGTCGCCAGAACTGCTGTGTCATTGACCTTGATGGCTGTTCGTGTGGGAGAGGGCCCAATAGGCAGTGCCCGTGTCAATACCACTCACGGTTGTCGTGTTCCAGAACGGTCTGTTACCAAATCTAACTAGATTGGCGAATGACGCCATGTGGTCCAAGTCGAGGGTATTTATACGATGAGCTTCCTTTACTTCTGCCGGCTATGCGTGTGGGCAGATAGTAATATCTAACGTTCCGCAATGGAACGCTCCGATAGTGTTCAAGACTTTTCCAAGGCTGGTCGGGACTTCGAACGGTTTCCGGAGGGCGATGCGTTGAGCAGGTCTTTGTCCAGAAATGGACGAGAAGACGCAGTCAAGGCATGCCTTCAACAAATAAGTGCAAACTTGTCTAAACTCATCTATGGTAATCATATTTTCAGGCTCGTAGCCTGCCATTTCGAACGCTGTGTCCGTAAGAGAGTTATATAGAGTATTAAAGAAATTGTAAAACGAATTTTTCGGGATAATGATGTAGGATATCGATCCACGGGGATTAGGTCCGATTACAGTCTTAGCTACTCCTTCTATTACTCCAGTGCTGGTTTGTGGAGTTATAACATCCCGTTTTTGGTTCTGGATGTTATGCGGCGGTGGCAAGTTATTCCCCGGTTGCGGTCTCGCAGGGGCTGGGGCTCCGGCTCCATTTTCAATGACTCTCCTGGCGTCAGGAGCTTCTACATTACCGTCGGTCGCGGTTTTTCGTGCAGCCATTTTCAATGTCTGAAACGAGAAACGTGTAAGTTAACACAACTTATATTGTGGTAGGTAATCTTAAGTAATACAAATAGAATAAAAAGTAAGATTTCAGAAGTTTTTATTTCCTTTAAAGTATGTTTGGTACAACAGTAATTATATATCTTTACAAATCTATATAAAACCGCCAACAAAAACATAGTACAAATCATAAACTGTTACATCATAACCAGTTAAAATCTTAATCATCGAGTTACGCGTCGACGCAAAAGCTTCTTCTGATTTCTTGTAAGTTATTAATTGCATCTGAGGTCCAAGGCATAATTTCGACGTTCGCTCCAAGCAACGGAATCTGTCCGTTAAAATTTCGCTTGAATATTGCAGTCAGAACAGCGTCATAAGGCGTGAAATCCCTAAACGCGGCTATTACTGTCACGGATCCTGTCGCCAGAACTGCTGTGTCATTGACCTTGATGGCTGTTCGTGTGGGAGAGGGCCCAATAGGCAGTGCCCGTGTCAATACCACTCACGGTTGTCGTGTTCCAGAACGGTCTGTTACCAAATCTAACGAGGTTCTCTGCCGTGTTGATTTTCGCGTCGCCGCTTCGTGCTGATTTTTATTGCGTCTTCCCCCGACGGGTCGTGGTGAGTTCACACTAACCGACGGTACATCCTGTCCTTCGTTCGTCGCACCTAGGGTTGGTTGCCTTCGGCCGATTTCCCACTCACTATCGTATTCGTCGTCGTCGTCTTCGCTCTCGTCCGCCTAGTATTCCACTATTCGTTGTTTTGTTGCTATTCTTGCATTTTCCATTGCGGCCCGGTCCTTTTCCGCTTTTCGTTTATATTTGTTCGAATCGCTTGAGGCTGGTGTACTGGTCACGTTCCTACTCGGTCCAGGGATGCACTCCTCGCTTTTATTCCCAATTAGGCCTTCTTGAGCCGCCGATCTAAACGACACACCACTCCGCCTTAGTAACGACCCTTTTTTCATTTGCACCGTATGTTTAGTCATTTTGTCAGTTTTTAATGGCAAACGTTTATACCTCCTTGGGTCCTTTGGATCCGTCTTCCCGGTCCTTTGATACACCGTCGTAGAACTTGCTTTTTGCCTTTTCAGCCATGTTGGGGTCTTGGGTGGGCCTGGTTCCTTGGGGTTCACAACTTCCGGAGCCTTAGGATCCGCTACCTCGTCATCGTCCAACATGATTGGAGCTTTCCTATTTTGGGGGGGGGGGCGAACACTAAGTCACTTCTCTTCTCCCAATCTAGGGTAAGTTCAACATCTGGGAGGTTTCCCGCCTTGTCTAAACAAGATAACTTTTGATTAACGACATTGTTCCAATTTAGGTTTTTTAATGACGGCCTTTTCGTTAAGTTTCGCAGTGCCGTATTAGCTTCTCGACCATGGTATGCTTCGAATGGCGTTCGTTTAGTTTTAGAGTGTGTCACGAAACGTAATGCACTAAGCGCACGGGAGATCATCTCCCCAAACTTGTAGTTCTTATTTTCCTGGAGATAAGTCAACACGTAATTTTTTATCGACCCAATAGTCCGTTCAACCATTCCTGTTGCACGATGGTCCCTAACCGGAGATTTAATAAGTTCAAAACCTTCGTAGTTACAGAAGTTTTGAATTTCGTTCGAGAAAAACCCCGTGGCTTGATCCATGTGCAATTTCCTTGGGTGTCCATGAGTATTTATGTACTTCCTTAGGAATTTCAATACACTTTTTGATTTGTTGCTTGAACAAACATACGCTGACGGCCAATGCGAGAAAGTATCTACTGCTTTAAGTACATATTTTTTTCGACCCCTAACATAGTTTACTGGACCCCAGAAGTCTAATTGGACCAAATCATTTGGTTCCTTAGGATTGTACGTTTCCCCCATGTCATTTTTGGGAATGTCTGGTTTAAGGTTGTTACCTGCTTCTACACAGCTTTTGCAGTATTTGGCTGTGGCCGCGATATTTCGGCGCATAAGAGGAATCCACACGTCCTTTGCCGCCGCGAACATTTTATCCCTCCCATGATGGTTATAATGGAGACGATTTAGAATTGCTGATGATAGGTCCTTCGGTATCGCTAACCGGCCGTCCATCCACAGGCAATTCTCCCTTACTGCGAAATCGTTGTAATGCTGGGCGTAGTATTGTCCTAATTTTGTAATAATCTCCTTTGCTCGTGGGCTCCTGTCTCTGATGTTGTCTCGGATGGTCTTCATAATTGGGTCTCTTTCAATGTTTGCTTCGATTAATTTTAAATTCAAAACTTCTGGGTGTTCAATTTTCTTCACGATTTTACTATCCGACGGCACTATGGAATAGATCCATTTTTCATTTTGTACAAGTGGGTACGATAAACCGGGGAACTGATGTGGAAAAGATATAATTGTATTCAGTTTTTTAGAATTAGTTTGTTTAGTATCAAGTTTTTCAGGTGGTATCATCTGAATATCGGAATCCGAGCTAACGCTGGGAGGTTGACTTAGACGGTTTAACACAATATTTAGATTAACATTTCCCGAATTAGTTGATGTGTTGACTATTGCCGAAGTTGGAGGATCATACTTTTCTGGCGAATTACTCATGTTATTTCTCCCAGAGTTGCTACTGTATTTTTTCAAAGTAATTGGCTTTTCACTATAATCTTTACTACTGTAAATTTTCAAAGTAGGTGGCCTTTCACTGCATTCTTGTAAGATGGGTGGTTCGCACTTATAATTTGTTGGCACCGAAGGTTTGTACTTGTAATTTGATGAAATGGAAGGGTTTCGAGGGTATTGAATAAATTTTTTGTTTTGGCAACTGTAATTTAAGCAATGAGAACAAAGTCTGAATCTCGTTCTTCGGTATTTGCATATTTCCTTCGGTATGCAAATATCTCGACGCTGATTGGTTAACCGTCGGTTGCATGTAAATACGCCCTCTATTGAGCGTTTGTGCTCACGGTGAATATTTGCATAATTGTCTGTTCTTACATTCTCATTGGATGAAACTGCTTTCGCTGTGTCGACACATGACTTTACGCCCCCTACCGTCGGTTTTCGCTGAATGTTGTTCACTTCTTGACCCCTAGGCTTCATTTTGTCCTTAGGCTTCAACGCCGCGTTTATCATTCTTATCTTTGCTACTGTAAAATTTTCATCGTAATGGCTCGTCTCGGGTGCCTCTGCGGTCGGAAACTGAGACAGATAGTCAGCCATCCCCATTTTTGACCCTTGTCGATGTTCAACCTTGAAGTCGTATGGCACCAGACGATCATACCAACGAGTTAAGCGACTGAAAAATGTTTTATTTCCTTTTGGTGACGAATTCAACAATGTGAGTAGCGCTTTATGATCAGATATCACTGTGAAATATCGACCGTATATATAATTCCGAAAATGTTCCGTGGCCCACACTACCGCGAGTAATTCCAATTCGTTTGTGGAGTATTTTTTCTCAGCCGGATTAAGGTAACGAGATGCAAACGAAATCGGATGCCATCCGGAGGCGCCATACTGTTCTAAAACGGCCCCTAGGCCATCGTGGCTAGCGTCACAAATGATTCTAGTTTCACGGTGAATGT